GCTCAGCCTGAGAGAAGGAACCTTTGAGGTCTGGGGAGCTCCACATGCCTCCACTCACTGGCCACCTGCCTCCCACACACCTTTCCGCAACACAGAGACCCCAGGGAGGGGTCTCAAGACAAGACCTGGAGCAGTTGAACAAGAAACCTTGGTGAGCTCATTCCACCTCCCAAGGATGGAGAAGAAAAGGTCCTGACTCCCACCATCATGTATAAGTTCTCTAGAGCACTACATGTCTCCCACATGAAGCTCAAACTTCTCCAGCTTAGGTTTGTTTTTTGAATCTGTATAATGGGAAGAGACATTTTGTAGCATCTTACATTCTTCCCAACCCTGCTTTTAAAGCACAAATGCTCTAGCATGCTGTATTAGTTTTCTATTGCTGCATTAAAAACTTACCACACAACTTAGTGGATTAAATAACAAATGTTTTCTCTCAGTATTTCTAGGTCAGGAATATGACTGTGGCTTAACCTGGTTCTCTGACTCAGAGGCTCATAAAGGCTGTAGTCAGGGTGTCAGCCAGGGCCACCGTCAACTCAAAGCTTCGCTGGGGGATGTGGATCTGCTTCCAAGCTCACTTCCAGTTGACAGGACTCAGACCCTTGCTGGCCACTGACCAAAGACATCAGTTCCCTGCCTCATGGATCTCTCCATAGGGCAGTTCACAATGTTGCAGCTGATTTTTCTCAGAATAAACAAGAGAGTGATAAAGGATGAGCAGGACAGGAGTCACAGACTTTTAGAGACCTAATTTTGGAAGTGACGTCCCATCACTGTTGCAATTTTCTATTCGTTTAGAACTGAGTCACTAGGTGCAGCCACACTCAAGGGAAAGAGATTGTACAAGGATGTGAATTCCAGGAGGCAGGATCATTGGGAGCCATCTTAAAGACAGTCTACTACATATGCCAAAAATCTTGGAATGATCCTTGATCCTCTTTTCCCTCATACCCCACATCCAACTCACACCCCACATCTTATCATCTCTATATTCTAAATAGACCCAGATTCCAATCACTTCCCACCAGCTCCATGGATACCACCTTGGTCTAAGTCATTGTTATCACTCTCGTGGATTATTGCCATAGTCTCCTAACTCTGGGCTCCCTGCTTCCACCTGTAGACACCTCAGGTTATTCTCCTCAGAGCAACCAGAGGGATCCCATCACTCTTCAAACCCAACAGCCTATTCATATCTCAGAGTAAAGCCAAGGGCATCAGCGATGACCTATGATGGCAACCTGAGTTGCCCCCACCTCTCTGACTCCATCTCCTACCACTTTCTCACTTGCACACTGGGCTCCGGCCACAATGGGCCCTTGACCTTCACAGTCCTCTCTCAGAGACTTGCCTTTGTTTTCCTCTCTTCCTGGAATGCTCTTCTCCAGATGTCTTCACAGCTCACTCCTTCACTGCTTTCAAGTCTCTACCCAAATATCACATCATTTTTGAAAGACTCTCCAACTGCCCTATATAAAAGAGTCCCTGCAAGCCTAGCATTCCTATCCCCTTTACACTGCCATATGCTTCTTGAAGCAATCTCACCATCTGACATTCTATGTATTTACTTGGTTGTTTATTACATGGCCCCACTCACACACATATCAGCTCTTTGGGGACATTGGGGTTGCCTGTTTTTTTTCATTTTCACTGTTATAACCCCAGTATCTAGAACAACCAGCTGGGAACAACCAGATACATAATAAAGACTTGCTGAGTGAATAACTGGATGCTTCCTTCTGGCCTTTGGTTACTTTTTTCAACATAAACTAGTTGGAATTCAAAAACTTTTCTCCACAAGACACCTGGCTCTTGCATTCAAAATCCTTAGCTCTACAATGTACTGCATTGCCTTTGAGCTTAAAAGACCCACTCAGGAGCTCAGCCACCTCTTTGCTCTCAGCTGTGTCCACCTTCACCCTTCATGCCTGAGTCTCAGATTGTAATTCTAATGGAAGCTCGGGGGAATGGTCTGTATAGACAACGCATGGAAATGTATGGTGGGAGTCTGCTGTGTTAATATCCCCAAATCTTATCCCATCCCACAGGCATGAGGCTTCCTCCCCTTTCCTTTCTGTTATATCTACCAGAGCTCACCCAAGAGCCAGGCACCAGGAACAGAGACATCCAAGAAGTGTGCCTTTTTGTCCCCCAAAAACATTCACCCAGCGGAGCATCCGATACTAAGAGTAGAGGCCAGCCCTGACCAAGTGAGTTCAGGGATGAGGGTGCTGTGAAGCCACCACAGTGGTTTCGTTAATAAGTGTCAGGCTCCCAGGGCTTGCAGAGATGGAGGAGCCTCAAGAGAGAATAAAAAGAGGAGAGGGCAGCTGTAGGATGCCAGAAAATGTAGGGATCCTGTGGCTCTAATACTTCTGGAGAGAGCCAGATCAGAGGCTGACACCTGGGGTCACTACACACCCACTTACCATGAATCCACTAGCCATCTCCCCTGGGTTCAAAAACATCTGTTAAACATTCTCAGTAGGAACAGTGCAGACCCAACCTGTTCTCTCATTGAGGCATATACTCTGGTAGTCAATGTAAAGATGGAATATACATCCATGATTACAAACTCTCGTAGGTAATTAAGGGTGCTGTAGGTGTATCTATAACAAGGAGGAGAAAGGGGGTGGACATCCCCAGTACAAGAAGAAAGGGAGGATTAGGGGGAGTTTGAGTCACTGCATAAAGGCCAGTGTAGCTGAGCTCAAACATGAATGAACAAGCTGGGAGTTGAGGCTGGCAAGGTATTTGGCGGACACGTGAGAAGAATCTTATTTTACCTTAACCAGTGAGAAGCCACATAAAGAGAATGACATGATCAGATTTCTCTTTTAAAAGCAGCACTCTGGCTACAGCATAAGGAAAAGACTGAAATAGGGAGAGAGTGAGTGAGGCAAATTGATAGGCTGTCCAAGCCAGAGATGAGAGTGGAGAGAGAGACACAGGAGGATTAAGACATATTTAGATGAAAGGATGTGGAGAAGGAAGGGGAGTTCTCAAACTGACACCAAGGCTTTCCAGCTTGACTAACTGAGTCGATGTGGGTGTCAGACACTGAGATGGGGACACAGGACCAAGAGTCTGATGGATGAGGTGAGTGATGAGAGCGGTTTGTAGATGCTAAGCAGACAGTAGGATTAGGCATGTAGGTGTCTTGTCCACTGTCATGCACATATGGGGTGGGTCCAGGATTCCAACCAAGGCCCTTTTGGCCCCAAAACCTGTCTTCTAATGACATGATCAATGGCCTCTGCCAGCAAGGAGCACTAAGCCCAGTGAAGGAGGGAACTCTAATGAGTGGGAATGGGGAACTAGGTCGCCAAGGGTGGTGTTCTAGTTACTATTGCTACATAACAAAACACCCCAAAATTTAGGGGCAATTAACAACCATTTCATTATGATCAGTGAGGCTGTGGATCAGGAATGCAGACAGGTCACAAGAATAGGTTGTCTCTGCTTATGTGGTCTGGGGCCTCAGCTTGGAAGACTCAGCTAGGGGTGATAACTTCTGGGGGCTGGAATCATCTGGAAAATTCTTCATTTATATGGCTATCAATTGATCCTGACTATTGACTGGCACCTTAGCTGGGTTTTCAGGTAGAACTCATACACGCGTCCTTGTCATGTGGTCTCTGTGCATGTGCTAGTTTCAGCTTCATCACAGCATGCAGGAAGATCCAAAAATGAGCATCCCAGGAGAGCAAGGTAGAAGTACAGGAAATTTTTATGGTATAACCTCAGATGTCACATCACATCACCTGTGCTGTAGTCACAAGCCTGCCCAGATTCAGGGAGGAGGGAACATTTACCCATTTCTCCATGGGAGGAGTGTCAAAGAGCATGCAAGGATATTGTTGCAGTCAGCTCTGGAGAATACAATCCGTCACCATTGAAAAAGGGAGTGGGTTGGGATGATGGATGCTAAAGGGAGCAGGACTATGGCCAGTTCCTCCTCAAGGTCTCCATGTGGAATCTCTCTCAGAAAAAAAAAAAAAAGCTAGAATAATATGGTCTCAAGGGAAGAAGACACCTGTCATGTGACAGAACAATCTAATCCTGTCTCTCACTTCCTCTTTGGTTCTTCCTCTTCTCATCACCAACATGCAGTCAGTGCTGGGAAGGAGGCAAAGGTCAGGAGCAGTGGGGAAACTGAGCCACAGAAGACAGTGTCTGGCATGGGGCCCAAGAAGGAAAGAGCTCACAGCTGAGAGGCTCTGGACACAATCTTGTGTGCTGGCTGTTGCTGCTCAGAAGAAAAGAGGAGGAGAATTCTTGTTGTGGGAGTTTCTCCTGCTCATCCACTCCCCTCTGCCCAGAGGTGGACCCAGAGTGGGGCACACAGAAGAAACCACCCCTCCTTCCGGCTATGACTCAGGGTGTGTTACTCTCCCTGCAGGATGAACATGCTAAGGCCCCCCAACACACACACACAGGCCTCCTCCATCGTCTAAAGCAGAAACTACCCTCCCCCACCAAAGACCTAACTCCCTGCTCACCCAAAGCCACTTCCCCCACAGGTGAACTCTCAAAGCCAGGGGCGAATATCAGTCACAGCTCATTTTACCACTGACACGTCTGGAGTGGGGAGAACAGGACCCCATTCCCCTGAGGCCCCATTTGCAGGGGCCCTCCTCCTGAACAGCTGTGCAGTTCATCAGAGCCCAGTTGTTGGACAGTTACAGAACACACCCTCCAGTATGGCAAACGATGTCCCTGGGGCTCCTGGATGAGGCAGGGCCACCAGTGTCTCTGAGATGGAGTGGGGTGGCCCAGAGGACAGAGCCTAGGCAGTAAGGGGGTCTACCAGGGCCTCTCCTAGAGACTTGGGACCCTTATAACAGTAATTTCTTAGCTTGTATCTGATTCCTATTTCATAATCTAGAAGCAGAAACTGTCAAAATCCACAGCCATTTCCTCCCATCATAGTCACTTCCTCATAACAGGAGACAAGCGTTCCCCTCTCATCACAAAGCACAGAGTCTTAGGTCTCTCCAGAACAACATTCAGACAGAGCAGCCTTCAGGGGCCACCACGATGCCCATCCCTGTCTTCCCACTCCCCCTGCCTCTGCCATCCCTGCTCTTGCCTCTCCTGCTGGGACTCACAGGTGAGCACCACGCCCTTGGGTACCACTGTGCAGGGATGCTCACCTGAGTTTGGTGGTGGTACTGTGTCTCCATTGGCATTGGGTGGATGGATCTCTGTTCCAGGGCCTCTCATCACTGATTCTTCCTCTTTAAGACATTTCTCTGAATGGTTTCTTTTACATCAAGGATCTCCCAAACAAATCCCACCTGAATTCTTATTATTTGAAGGGGTCCTTTCCTCTCCTACTCAAGTCTAAACAGGATTTATCCCACTCATGCATTTCTCAGTGACAGGGCTTCACAGCCCCTCCTCACCTCCCACACCCCTGATACCCTGTGAAGGCTCCAGAACCCCCTGGGCCTGACCTGCAGGACCTGGTGGCATCCTGAGGGAGGAGATGAAGGCATAGCATTTGACTCCTCTGTCCGGCTGAAGACCACAGACTTGAGAGGCAGAGCTGCCTTAATTAAGATGGAGATGAATAGATAGATAAATCACAAGTACTACACACACAATACAGAACTAGCAAAAAAAAAAATGTAACTGGTGCTTTTTAGACTATTAAGTCTCCCAGAATCTCAGCATCCTAGGACTTTAATCTTGATGTGGGAGTTTCTCCTGCCTGTCCGCTCTCTTCTCTCCAGAACTGACTCCAGACTGGGGCAGACAGGCGAGGCACCCCTCCTCCTCACAGAAGTGCTAACATCTCAGTTGAGAGGTCATCTAGTTAAGTGGATAAAGCACAGGTATTTCTAGAAACAAACCTGCCAGGGTTCACATCCAAGTTTCATCACAAACAGTCTGTTTGACGTTAGACAAGATACTAAACTTCTCTGTGCCTCCATTTTCTTGTCTGTAAAATGGGGATACATAATAATGCCTTCTAATAGGGTTGTGGTGAAATTTAATTGAGTTGTTAACATATTTAACTATTTAGAGTGTTGTGTGTTACACAAAAGCATCTATGGAAACTCTGGCTGTTGAATCCTTCCATGGTTTAGTAAATGCAAATATGAACACATAAAAATGATCTCGTTGATTCTGGCCATTACAGCACGCACTCTGTGTCCTTAAAAGTCCGTGTCTTCATTTAAAAGTCACAGCACTCATGGAAAAGGGGAATGATCCATCATGCTTGACAGAAGAGGAAACCGAAAGCAGAGGAAGGGAGTGAATATCCCAGAATCACCAGGTTTGTCAGTGCTGGTGCCAGGCCTGACCCCACGTCAGCCTGATGCCCAGGACAGGATGCTCCCTTGGACTTTGAGGGAAGGAGGTCCTTCAGGCACAGTCCTAGATGTTTTACAAAGGTTTTCAGTTTCAGTCTCACAATAAAACCATAAGAGAAGTCCCCTGGGCCAGGCAGGGGACTTGGAGCTGACTTGTACTTCCCTCCAGGAGCGGCAGGTGCGGAGGAGCTGCAGGTGATTCAGCCTGAGAAGTCAGTATCCTTCGCAGCCGAAGAGACGGCCACTCTGCGCTGCACCCTGACCTCCCTGCTCCCCGTGGGGAACGTCCAGTGGTTCAGGGGGACAGGGCCAGGCCGTGAATTAATCTACAGTTTCAAAGGAGGCCACTTCCCCCGAGTAACAAATGTAGGAGACTCCACAAAGAGAAACAACACGGACTTTTCCATTCGCATCAGTAAAACCACCCCAGCAGACGCCGGTATCTACTACTGTGTGAAGTTCCAGAAAGGGAGCCCTGATGACGTGGAGTTTAAGTCTGGACCAGGCACCAAGTTGTTTGTGCGTGGTAAGTCCAGATCCCTAAAAATCCAGCCCTCTGGTCTAAGACAAATCACAAGTCAAGACTCCCCCTTTGTTAGCCCTTGTGTCAAGATTGAGGATAGAAGGTGGGGATAGCGAGAAGTCATAGTGAAGGAGCAGAGTGAAATGCAATCCTAGGGCCATATATCAATAGAATCCTAACACTTTAGAGTTTTACAATTTTCAAAGGCTACTAAATGGGCTGGACAGCAGAGTAGGTAAAAGTACAGACCCTAGGGCCAAATGGCCTGAGTTCAACTTTTACCTCTGCCATTTACAACCTGTGTGACATTAGTGAGTTTCTTAAATTCTCTTGCCTCAGTTTCGTCTTCTATAAGATAGGGATAATACTAGTACTCACATCATGAATTTATTGTGGATTAAAAATATAAATAAATTTATAAACGTAAAAAATTTAGAAGAGTACTTGTAACATAATAATTATTATACTTGTGAATATTGTCAATATTCAGGAATATTAAAACCAATCAGACTTTAAAACATAATCCAAAAAGCACAGAACCACAGATTCACAGAAAAAAAGAATGATAAAATTATTGAGGTAGAAAATCTTAAAAATCTCTTTTTTTCTTTGTTGCTGAGGAAGATTCACCCTGAGCTAACAAATGTTGACAATCTTCCTCTTTTTTTGTTGTTGTTTGAGGAAGATTAGCCCTGAGGTAACATCAGTGACAATCTTCCTCTACTTTGTATGGGGGATGCTGCCACAGCATGGCTGATGAGTGGAGTAGGTCCACGCCCAGGATCTGAACCTGCGAACCCAGGCCATGAACCATTATGCCACATGGCTGGCCCCTAAAAATCACATTTTTGACGTGCAGTATGTAATCCTTACTTTTCCTAAATTTTGTCCTTGATTTTTATAAGTCCTATGTATTCTTGGATGGTGTCCTGGCTGAAGACAAAGCCTACAAGACTCTAAACAGCATCCATAAAGGAAAGACTAGGAAAATGAGCAGTTAATCAGGCCTGTTTTTACTGATGCAGTAATGATTATAATATTTTTTCTGTAAAATACGAGCGTGATAACTTACTCTAACAGAACCATAGAAACATACATCAACAGAAATTTTGAATCTTTAAAATTTTAGCATGTCAGAGTAATGGAGAAACAAAGAGAATGATAGGACGTCTTTGGGAACAAAGAGAAGGTCAAATGATTTTCAAGAGCTGAAAATAAAAAGCAAGTTGTATGTGAACCATTTAAATGTGATCAGCATGAGATGACTAAGGGCAACGTTGAATGCGGGAAGGCTAGAAGCAGTGCCTTCAAAATTCTTAGAGAAAATTATTTCCAACCTAAAATTCTATAACCAGCCAATTTTTCAAGTTTGCAAGATCACCAAGAACTATCTTTACTGCACACTTTTTGCTTTACCAAAGTAGGTGTTAAACAAAGAAAAAGTAAGATTGGGAACCAGGAATAGGGGATTGAAGACCCTAAGATAACAGCCATGCAAGAGGCATAGGAATGGCCACCGAACTATTCCAAAATAGAAGGACTGAGAGCTTTCAAAGGGACATCTCAAAAGGATAGAATTGCTAGAATATTAAATAGTTTTCAAACTCATGCTCATCATTTCTAACACTATTTAACATTGTACTGAAGTATTAGCCAAAGCTTTGAGAGGGAAGAAAGCAATAAAAAGCATAAGAATTATAAAGGAAACGGGAAAACAATTTCTTTTTGTAGATGATACAGTATCTGGAAAACTTAATAGAATCAACATTAAGCTTTACAAACAATAAGATAATTTAGGAATGTAGCTTGTTATAAAATCAACATACAGAAATTAATAACCTTCATACAAACAAAACCAGTTGGAAGATATAATGGAAAGGATGAGCACAAATACAATAGAAAATTTAAATTAAATTAAATACTTAAGCCAATTTCTACCAAAACAATGATAGGGACTGGATTTACTTGCCCACTAGAAATATGGGCAAACTATACAAAACAATGGTTGACAAGACATTGAATATCAGGCAACAAATGACAATGACCTCTGAGACATGAGAAACAAATGAGGTGAGACCCAAGATTACCTCCAGCTTACTCTTGGAGAAAGATTCCAGGCCACCATGCAGGAAGAGTGAACTCAGGTGAAGCCTGGAGGTCTCCCTCAGTTGATAAGAAGGAGCTGGATGTCCAAGGAGGGCAAGGTAGCTAGAGTTTTCCAAGTAGAGCACCAAAGAGGACAGAGCTTCACAGAGTGAGAACTCCAAAGATCTTGAGTATTCACCTGAGTACTAAAGAGTGTATGTACCTGAGGACATACATACACATGAGTGTAGGTACATGGTCCCAGGGGAAGAATCCCCGGAGCTCACACAAGGCTGAGAATACTGCCTGCTCCCACCAACCTGACTGAAAACCTCATAACTCATGGAGTATCTGGTAAAGTACGCAGAAGGGATCTGCCCTGGTAAAGATAAAATAACTAGCCCTAGGCCAAGTGATGCTATGGACCTGCCTCACAAAGTGTAAATACAACACACGAAAACATCAGACTGTTTCCAGGTAATTTAACCATGTCCCAAAACACGTGCAAGCATACTTATAGGAATACAAAACATCCACCACCGAAGAAAGTACAATTCACAACATCTGGCATGCAATAAAAAATTACCAAGCATGATAGAAGCAGAAAAATACAATTTATAATGAGAAAAATCAACCTTTGGGAACCTAACCAGAAAACACAGATGATAAAATTAGTGCATAAGGACATTTAAGTTACTATAAATACACCCTATATGTTCAAGAAGCTACAGGAAATACAGAATATGTGAAATAGAGGCATGGAAATATTTTTTAAAGATCTATATTGAGATTTTAGAAATGAAACTGCCATGTCTAGGATGAAAAATAGACTGGAAGGGTCAACAGCAGAAAAGATACTGAAGAAAAAAGGTTATTGAACTTAAAGACACAGGATAAAAGACTGAGAAAAGATAAACAGAGCTTCAGTCAGCTATGAAAAAACCTCGAGTCGCCTAATAAATATGTACTGAAGACTCCAAGGAAGAAAGGGACAGAAAGAATATTTGAAGAAGTAATGGTTGTATATAACCAGATATGATGAAAACTATGAACCCACGGATCCAAAAAGTTCAGTGAACCCCAGCACAAGAAACATGAAAACTGCACCCAAGGTGCATCACAATCAAATTGCATAAAATCAGTAAGAAAGAAAAGATCTTTAAAGGAGACAGAGGAAAAGGGAAATATTAGATGCAAAGGAACTAATATAAGTATGACAGCAGATCTATCACTGAAAATGATGCAAGACAGTGGAGAAACATCTTTAAAGCATTAAAAAAAAATAAGAAAATGTAATATAATAACCCTAAACATTTATGCACCTAATAAAAGAGCTTCAAAACACATGACACATAAACTCATACCAATGCAAGGATAAATAGATAAATCCACAATTATAGTCTGAGATTTCACACTCCTCTTTCAATAATTGGCAAAACAAGTAGGCATAAAATCAAAAGGATCTAGAAGACTGGATCAGCACTATCAACATATTTGAGGAACTGACATTTATAGAACACTCCACTCCAAAACAGCAGAATACACATTCTTCTCAAGTGTAAAGGGAACATTTATCAAGATGTATCTTATTATGGGACATAAATGAAGTCTCAGTAAGTTTAAAATGAGTCAAGTCATACAAAATGTGTTCTCTGACCAAAAGAATTAGATTAATAATAACAAGAAGATTTCTGGAAAATCTCAAAACAACTGGAGATGAAATGATATGCTTGTGAATAACATGTTATCAAAGAAGAAATAAAAGGAAAATTAGAGAGTATTTTAAACTGAATGAACATGAAAGCACAACATACCAAGTTTGTGGGATGCAGCCAAGATAGTACTTAGTGGGAATTTATAGCACTAAATGCCTACATTAGGACAGAAGAAAAGTTTCAAGTCAGTGACCTAAAAATTAGAAAAAGAAGAAGGAGTGAAACCCAAAGTAAGCAGAAGAAAGTAAATAATAAAGAAAAGAACAGAAATCAGAAATAGGAAATGGAAAACTACAGAGAAAAATCAATGAGACCAAAAGCTGGTTCTTTGAGAAAATTAGTAAAATCAATAAACTCCTAGCCACACAGTCAATCAGGAAAAAAGAGAGAGGGGACCAAATTACCGATAACCGAAGGAAAGAGGTGACATCACTGCAGACTCCACAGATATTAAAAAGATTATAAGAGAACTTCATGAAAAACTTTATACCAAAAAACTCAACAACTTAGATGAAATGGACAAACTCTTTGAAAGACACAGACTACCAAAGCTCACTCAAGAAAAAGTAAATAGCCCAATTATCTCTATATTTATTAAAGAAATGGAATTTGTCGTTTAAAAAGCCCCCCACAAACAATAGTCCAGGCCCAGATGACAGCACTGAGGAATTTGACCAAACATTTAAGGAAGAAATACTAACAATTCTACAAAAATTCTTCCAGAAAATTTAAGAGGAAGTAAAGCTCCTCAATCTTTAAGGCCAGCATTACTGTGATACTAAAAGCAGATGAAGAAACTGTAGACCAATATCCCTCATTAACATAGAATCATTAGTCATACAGTGTAGCATTGGCATCAAGATAGACAAGTAGATCAATGAAACAGAATAGAGATCCCAGAAATAAACCAATACATATGGTCAATTGATTTCTTTAAACAAAAAAAGCGTAAAGATAATTTGTAGGCAGACCAATGGAACAGAATAAAAAATCCAGAAATGTATACAGTTCCTCCCACCGTACACCAAAATAAATTCCACATGCATCAGAGATTTAAATGTAAAAAATGAAACTGTGCAAGTATTAGAAGAAACTATGTGTGACTTTTTTAATAATCTGGAAGTGGGGAAAACCTTCCCAAGTACAGTTCAAACCGCAGAACCAAATGAGAAAAAAAATGATAATTTGACCATATTGTACAAA